AGAAAATTTTTGTGTAAATCAATTACCTGGATAAAAAAATGTTTCTATGATTTTAAGAGGGTCATGAGGATTATGTCGATGATCAAGCACTTTCTTTCTCCTTGTGTTCGTTGAGATTTTGAATAAGATAGATCAGTGTAGCACTCATCTTTTGAGGAGATGTCCTCAATTAAAATTTATAGAGTGAATGATGACGTGTCTGATAACAGTCTTGGCAAATCACATGATGTATTTCAGAAATCATAGAATCCATACAGTGTGGAAGCAGGCCATTCAGCCCATCGAGTCCCCACGGACTCTCCAAAGAATAGTCTGCCCAGGCACTCCCCCCTACCCTATCTTCCTGCATTTACCATAGCTAATCCAACTAACCTGCACATCTTTGGACTGTGGGAGGAAATCAGAGTGCCCAGAGGAAACCCACGCAGACACGGGCAAAATGTGCAAACTCCACACAGACGGTCGCCCGAGGGTGGAAACCTCCAGTGTCAAGTGAACGGTAAAAGGAAACATAGCTTTAAGTAGTGCACAGAATTCTCAGCGATGACTTATTTACTCATATTCAGCTGGTCATTATTAGGAGAGATCATTAAATAAAACATTGTGTAAATCATTGGCCTTGTCTTGCCTGTCAGCTCTCCAAGTCAGTAACCGGTTTCTAAAGAATGGTTGACGGGCTGAATGACAAAGGCTAGAGTCTTACTATTTCACAGCTCCCATACTTGGAGATTTAGGTTGTCAGAAGCAACCAAAAGTCTTAAAATCTGTTGGTCACGACCTAAACCTTGGGATCCAAGTTGTGAAGGCAACTTTTTTTTTCTTCTTGAGGGGTGGAAATGTCAGAGAGAGGAGAGTCATGAGTGTTGGAGACAGGTGCAGAAGGGTGGCTTTGAGAGGACACCCCATGCTCCACCATCCATGCCTTCATTTCACCCATTCTGATTACTCGGATTACCATGTTTCCCAGTTGGGAATTCCATCTGCCAGGCAGGGGTTACAGGTGAGAGGAGAGTACTGAGTTGATGCTCTTGAATGGCCAATGAAGTGATCACTTAAGGGCTTTAATTGCTGGCAAGTTGAGAATGTTGCCCATGGACCTTCTTATCCAGCATGTAATTGCTGAGTGGCAAGAAGAGGGTGAATTTCTCTTGATTGCCAACTCTCCCAGTTATTTCCCCTTTTTGCCACTTCCAGAGAGGGGAAAGTCACATCACTGTTCTCCAAATGGTGTACAGACTCCTGAATTTAATTATTATTCAGCCCCTCAAACATTCTTTAGAAACCTGTTACTCACATTGGCCTCAACATCTACTTCATGATAGAAACATAGAAAAGAGGAGCAGGAGTTAGCCATTTGGCCCATTTGAGCCTGCTGCACTTTTCAATGTGATGATGGCTAGTCATAGAGCCATAAAGCATGGAAACAGACCATTTGGCCCAACCAGTCCAATAATCCCAAACTCAACTAGTACCTGTTCTTCTTTCTCCCCATGCCATTTGATCCCATTAGCTGTAAGAACTATATCAAACTCCTTGAAAATATGCTGTCGTTTTAGTGGCAGAGAATTCCACGGGCTCACCACTCATCTCAGTCCTGAAAGGTATACGCCACCCACCCCCCCCAAACTTCTGGGCTCCATAGTCATTGAGAACATTCTCCGTGCATTTATCTTGTTCAGTCCTGTCAGAATTTTATTGGTTTCGATGAGCACCCTCCATCGTACTGCCACCACCATATCATTCTTCTAAACTCCAGTGATCTTTACTCCTAACCAATCTAGTTTCTCTTCATACTTTGGTCCTGTCAGTCGGTAAAGCTTTGTCTTACTCCTTCCATAATTAAAACATCCTTCCCCACATAATAAAACCAAAACTGCACGCAATGCTCTAGATGTAGTCTCACCAAGGCCCTGCACAACTGCAGCAAGGCATCCATGCTCACATAGTCAAATCTTCTCACTAGGAAGGCCAACATACCATTAACTCTTTCTTCACAAAGGTATCATATGCTGAATAAGAGCAACATTGATACTGCAGCAAAAGAACCCATGTGGGCCACTTGTTTATTTTAACACCTATTGTATTTGACCAAAGTCACACCATGTTTTTGTTATTATCCTTAAGAATTACTGCTATGTTTGTTAATATGTTCTTGGTGCTAGGATTGGCTGCTATAAATTACTCCATTCAGAAGGAACTTCTGAACACAGTCCTGGAAGCCAACTATTGGTATTGTGGGTCTGCCTACTGCAGGTGGACTGCAGTGGTTCAAGAAGGCAGCACTGTCATCTTGAGGGTAATAAGGGATGGGCAAGAAATGCTGGCCCAACCAGCGATACTGTCATCATCCATGAGTGAATAGATAAAAAAGTTCCTGTGACAGCACTGTTCATTTGAACAGAGAGTGAAATAGTCAAATTAGATCAATGGTCTCAGGTCTGAATGGGGCTTCTGCAGCAAGGGAAGTTGAAAACTGGAGTTTGTCACATCATTGGTCTAAGAAGGCAAGAAAGGGGTTAGTATGTTAGCTAAAATGGAGAAACAGTGTATTCATGAACGTATTAATTGAAGTCATGATGGAATTCAGTAAAACCATTTGTGATTTCTATATCTTCACCTGACCATGAAATGAAACAGATGGCAGTTTTTTTAATCTGTCACTTTACCATCTGTATAACTGAGACCTCCATTAGTTGATTGAAAAGATGCATGTCTTGCTACCTAAATCTCAATTTCTTTTAATAAGCTGGGATATTATACTATTTTCTCTGAAGTTTGAAAAAAGTAAAGTCAAAAAAAATGTCATTTAATGTTAGTCAAGAATCTCTGATGTTGCACTTATAAATTAGGCGGGTATAGTTTTTTTTTAATCTGTGTCTGCTATCTTTGTCTTTTTCTTTCTTTCCCTGCTTGTTTCTCATCTTTGTCTTTTCTTCTCCATGCTGCCCCCAAAACACCAGTTTAAAACATTTTCTGGTTTGTAAAGAATACTCAAAACTACAAGGTGTATAAACATACACAGTATAGCTATGATGAAACTTTTTGGATATGTGTACTTGTTCTTGATTATTAGTTGAAGAAAAATCCCAAACAGAAAAGCTTTAGAACGTAATGAAAATTACTGGCTGTATGTGGCCATAAGTTATTAACGGTGACAAGATAGGTACAAAGAGCATTTAGTAAAGCATACAGTATTCTAGGCTTTGTAAATAGTGGAATAGAGTACAAGATGAGCTTGTATAAGACGCTGGTTTGATCTCAGCTGGAGTATTGTGTACCATTCTGAGTGCCACACTGAAGGAACAATGTGAACGCATTGAAAATAGTGCAGAAGAGGTTGATGACTTTCATTGTTGATTTCCATTGATGAGATACTTCAGTTATGAGGAAAGATTGGACTTTGTTCCCTGGAGGGAAGAAGGCTAAATTGAGATTTGATACAAGTTTTCAAAATCATGAAGTGTCCACACAGAGAGGACAGGGAGAAACTGTCCCTACTCGAAAACAATTTGAGAACCAAAGGGCACAGCTTTAAAGTATTTTGCAAAAGGAGCAAATGCAAGGTGACAAAAAACTTTTTCCACGTAGTGCATAGTTTGGGTATGAAATGCTCTGCCTGCAGTGTGGTGGAGGCAGGTTCCATTGAGACATATTCAAAAGGGTATTGAATGAATACAAAAAATGTGAGTGGTTATGGGACAGGTCTCCATCTTGGCCTCTTTTATCCTCTTTTCTTAAATTCAATGTCATTCCTAAACTACTTTCTCAAAGAAATATTTCCTGCCTATAGTCACAGTCATCCTCTAACTTCTGCCAACTTCTGTAGCCATCCACGGTCTTATCACAAACTTGCCTATCTCTAGCCACATTCTTATATTCTTTGACATTCACTTCTCTATTCCCTTTCAACCTTGCTTTCTTATGTATTTCTCTGGGGATAAAACTGTTTTCTGGTAACTTGTGACCATGGTTCCCTGCTTCTAATTGCACAATGTTTGGCCCTCCACTTATTTCTGCAGTCATCATTTTGCTCAACCATTTCTTCACTTCCATTTCCACCATTTGATACCCTGTTCACAGAAAAACATGCCTCATTTGATTCCCCATTCTGTAAATTGTCAGAAGAATCATCAAGTTTATTGTAATAAAATTGTTGAAATTCCAGTACTTTATTATTGGAATACTAATTCTAGATTTCAAAATTTAACACTTTAGGTTTTATTTTAATAAATATGTTTGAACATCAATTCTATTGTCCTTACTTTCCTCTTCTCTTCCACCACTTCCTCCCATTTTTTCTTTTGCCTATTTTTTTCGACAACGTCTGTTTTATCTATGGTTTATATTTCAGTTAAAAAACTCAAAGCTCTTTAAACAGCAATACTGCACATAGTGAAAATCTAAAGCCAATGTTAGACAAGTTTAGGTCATATGGCATTTGTGAAACAGATAACTGGGTTGAACTTTTGCATCAGATTCACAAACTTATCTATTCACGTGACTGATGCGATCCATTTTCCCTCATTTCTGTCCCACACCCAATGACCACATGTGCCTTTTTGAGAGTGCTTTTTTTTGTGTTAAAAAATGGGCAACATAAAAGGACAGAGAAATGCTAATTGATATGGAACCATGTCTGTCTCTCCTCTTATACATCAAGATAGAAAAATGTCTTTGCACTTAATTAGTAGTGAATGATGCATTACATTACATAATCCAGGAGAACCGATAATTTGATTGCGAATGTAGTAGTATTTGCATCATGAGTGTATCTTCTGAATATCTGTGGACGATTTCAAAAATTGCAGTAGGATATTTTTAACAGTTGGCTATAGGTTTGAGTTCGTGCCTGCCAGCTGGGTCTTTATGGACACTAATCAAACAGCTGCTTTACAGGACATTGAACTTTAATGTGGCATGTTTCAAATTTTCAAGGAATGTTATTGAACTTCAATATATGTTAAAATTCAGCATCCTTTTAACTTTTTATTATCCTGTAGGCCACAGGTGATTTCCATGGCAATATTTTAGTTGGCCCAGCACAACAACCCGGAGTGATGAGTACATCACAACAGACTTCAAAACCTACCAAGGCAAGCATTTCGCAGTTGTTTGCACCAAGTACAGCTCAGAATGCAGTCCGGTTACAGCCCAAAGCTGAACAGGTCACTCCTACAACCTCTAACAAACAGGCACCTTCGCCCACGCCAACGAGTAAGTAGCCATCTGAATTTAAATAGGATTTTGAAATTCTTCATTATTTCTCTGATTTATTTTCCAGGAACATTAGTAATCTACAGAGACCGCTGTGTCATATTTTAGTGAATATTTCATTCAGTTTATCTACTGAAAATTAGAGAGAATTTTGCTCCCAATAGAGTTTTACAGTCTTCGTGTATAATTTTATAATAGTTTGTGTACTTTATCCTCCTCAATTTTCAGGGTTAGAGACAAACTTTTGGCATATATCTGGAGCTGGCAGGTGGACCACAGCACCTTCTTGTATATTTTTCCTTCCAAATGTGTCTTCCTACATTATTTTATGAGCTATATGAAACCAAGTTGATATAGTAGTGCACTGACTACATTAGTTGCCTGTGTAATAATAAACGTTACAGACCAAGAATTTCTGAATCTTGGACAGATTGAATTTGTAGATCTCGGTGGGGGTGCTCCAGTTATTTCAATGTTTTGGCAGGGTTGGAGAGATGGATTGCGGGGCGGGCGGCAAAGTTACTCACTTGGTATATTGCCACGGTTCCTTTTTGAGATTATCTGGTGCACGTATGAATTTGGATTGAGTACAAGGTTAAGAATGGCTGAAATCCATTTCTGTTTTGCCATCTCTACATTGAGGGATCTTCAGATTTGTGCATCTTGTACCTTGTGCAAGGGAGCCCTTTAATACATTGTAAGTGGCGCCAGCCTAAATTGCCATATGGTTTGGTGGTTCTGGAAGTGTTGGAAAAGAAGATAACTTTATAGTATTATTTTTAATGTGGTTGCTGAAACTAAAACCTAATTATCCCCAAATTGTAACTGATGTTAATGTTCATATGAAATGTTTTCTTTTCTACTCTTGACTTTGACTCAGTGATGTCACATTCTCACGTGAGTTAGTTAATCATTAATGCAGTTCTCACTCTCAATGTTCAAGAATTAATCTAAGGAGGCACTTCTGCCTTATATTGAGGGAGTACTGCAGTGAGAGAATGGCATTCTCATGGGAGCAAAGTTAACCCAAAGTAGATGAGTTCTTTTCATGGTGATCCACCTATCACCATCCCCACTACCTTCCCCAAGCCCCAGCCCCCTCCCTCTATTTATTTCCGAGCTCCCTTTCCCCTCCCCAGTCCTGATGAAAGGTGTAAACTCGAAATGTTGACTCTTGCTCTTCTTTTACTGTCTGACCTGCTGGGTCCCTCTAGCTCCACATAGTATTGATGGGTTCTTTTCGTTTTTTTTTGATGTTTATTCCTCAACAAGCACCAATAAAGGAGATTATTAAATTATTTCACTTTTGTGGGAACTTGCTGAGTGTGAAAAAGCTGCTGAGTTTCTCTACCCATCGTGATGACATTGCATGAGCTATTTTAACTGATAATGGTTTTAAAATGTCCTTTGGCCACGAAAGATATATAAATGCAAGTTCTTTTCCTCCCTTTCTTTCAAGGGAGTTCAGCAGATTGCAAGAGAGTACTACAAATAAAACTAACATACTCTTCCAATAGACTTCAGTATAATTTTCTCTTTCTTGATTTGTTTTATCCTACTGCTTAGAATCTGTTCATAGCTGAGATGTATCACCTTTGAATGTTCTCATTAACTGATAAGTCTCTTATAATATTTTAAATGGCATGGTGTTGAATATGTTAAAATGCATAATTTGTCAACAGAATTTTAAAGCACATACACGCAATTTATTTAATTTATTGTCCTTCAGGCCGGAATCGACAGAATTCAGGCCAAGGATCTCCAGCAACTACAGAGAGAATCCCAAGCCCACAGTCTCCCATAAACAATTCCACAAAAGCTAAACCAGACCAACCATTTAAGGTAACAGGTTTGTGAAGTAGTTTTTGTTTTATTTCATCGCTTAGTGAAAGTATCTTTCCCTTAAATGTATGTAGATCTCAATTTGGGGATAGTTACAGAACTAGCTCTAAACCTTTATGAAGCTGCTACATAGTTGTGTTTGCAGTTTTGCTTTGGAAATCTCGCATTCAGGAAATCACCTGCAGACTTGTACTGGAATTTAGTTGTTACTTAATTCAAATAGAGTTGTTTGCAATAATGGAAAGCTTTATATAAACTTCTTTCTATCAAATTGATACATTATTAGAAGTAAAAATGCAATACATTTCTGACCATCACTGACTTTTTTTTTCTCTCCCACTCCCTGCCTGTCTCCCTCAATGAATCTATGCTGCTTATCCCTAATTTTCCTAGGTTAGCTCAATAGCATAGCTTGATCTCAATTTTGATAGGCAACTGTGGAAGAAAGGTGTACGTGACTGAAATTTAAATAGGGGAACTATAAAGTTTGAAAGCATTGAAGGATATTTTAACACGTTGTAAGCCTTTTTTAAGATTAAAGGGTCAAGAAATTGAAAAAGGAATAGGCAAACATGAAGGGTAAGGAAACCCAAGATAAAGCTGTGCATTTGCAGGCAGTAAATGAGACTGATCAATATAAGCTCCTCTACTAATCAACGCTGAGGAAGCTTTTCTTCTTTGCCATTATCAGAGTCATAGAGCTGTACAGCATGGAAACAGACCCATTGATCCGACTTGTCCATTCCGACCAGATATCCCAAATTAATCAAGTCCCATCTGCCAGCGTTTGGCCCATATCCCTCTAAACCTTTCCCATTCAGATACCCATCCAGATGCTTTTTAAATGTAATTGTATCAATCTCTATCACTTCCTCTGGCAGCTCATTCCATACACGCACCACTATCTGCATGAAAATATTGCCTCTTAGGTCCCTTATGAATCTTTCCCCTCTCACCTTAAACCTATGCCCTCTAGGTTTGGATTCTGCTACCCTGGGGAAAAGACCTTGTCTATTTACCCTATCTGTACACCTCATGATTTTATAAACTTTTGTAAGGTCACCCCTCAGCCTCCAATGCTCAAAGGGAAAATAGCCCAACCTGGTCGACCTCTCCCTATAGCTCAAATCCTCCGACCCTGGCAACATCCTTGTAAATCTTTTGTGAACCTTCCAAGTTTCACAACGTCCTTCCTATACTAGGGAGAGCAGAATTGAACACAGTATTCCAAAAGTAGCCTAACCAATGGTCCTTACAGTGGCAACATGACCTCCCAACTTCTATACTCAATGAACTGACCAATAAAGGTAAGCATACCAAACACCTCCTTCACTATCCTGTTTACCTGCAACTCTATTATCAAGGAACTACAAACTTGCACTCCAAAGTCTCTCTGTTCAGCAGCACTCCCCAGGACCTTACCATTAAGTGTATAAGTCCTGCCCTAATTTGCCTTTCCAAAATGCAGCACCTCACATTTATCTAAATTAAACTCTCTCCACAACTCCTCAGCCATTGGCCCATCTGATCAAGGTCCTGTTGTACTCTGAGGTAACCTTCTTGGCTGTCCACGACACCACCAATTTTAGTGTCATCTGCAAACTTGCTGACCATACCTCCTACGTTCACATCCAAATCATTCATATAAAAGACAAAAAGCACCAATCCTTGTGGCACACTGCTGGTCACATAAATGTGCCTGATACTTCTGGGGTAATACTTGACCCTTTTGGTGAATAAACTAACAGCGATACATCAGTTTTTGGATACCTGGTGATGCTTTCCCTGCAGTATTACTGAAAGAATTGTGTATTTTGTTTGGGATGCTTCTAAAGAAACTAATGGGATATTTATGTGCCTTAAGGATACTATTGGGTGTGTTGTCCCAGAATCTGTTTGCAAGAGTAGTCTTTGCTTTTAGCAGTTGTCTGCACATTACAGTTTGTTATCTGAGATTGCACTCGTGTGTGAGAACAGCACAATTGTTAAAGTTTTGGCCTATTTGGCATCTCACTGCAGGTTCTCTTCTAATTGCATATGTTGAGGTATTCACATATAGAAATCCATATGTATTTACCAGGAGATGCGAAAAATAAAACAATAATTGTTGCATTGATAAATGACAGGCTTGAGTGACAGCAAGACAAAGGGGAAGCAATGCAAAAAGGTTAAGAAAAGACAAAAATTTGTTTCCTTTTAATATTACTATGTTCTTTCCATGAACTGCCAAATACTTACTTTTGCCTCAAAACCATGAATACCCATTTCAAATGGGTATCTTGGGTGTCTTGTATGCCTGAACACTAAGAAATGATAATCAAAACTAAAACTCCTAAAATAGGAGTTCCATATATCTAAATTACACAAAATGGGCAGAGTTCTACTGGAGTCAATTTGAATGTTTTCTGTGTTTGTCCAATTATTTCCTGGAGAATAGAGTTTCTAAATTTACGTTATGATGGTAGTGCAAGGAGCATACTTGTAAACGTATATGATTATGTTCGGGACAAGACACTGTCATAGAGTCATAAAGGCCTACAGCACAGAGACAGCCCCTTCAGCCCAAACTGGTCCATGCCGAGCAAAATGTCCATCCCTGCTAACCCCATTTCCCTGCACTTGGCCCAAATCCTTCTGAACCTTTGCCATCCACGTATTTATCAAAATGTCTTTTAAATGTTGTTAATATAGCCAACCTCCACCACTTCTGCTGGCAGCTCATTCCATATGCATACCACCCTCTGTGTAAAAAGGTTGCCCCTCAGTTCCCCATATATTCTTTCCTGTCTTACCTTAAACTGATACCCTGGTCCCAGATGGGTTTCTCTATAGTAAAGGCAAAAGCTTTGGAATGATTCACAAAAATTAGAATCTGAAAGAATAAAGACCTCCATCTTATAATGCCATAATACTGTCTTCTCAAATTCATTGTTATTTTGTTATTTTAATCTTCGTAACAAATTAGGGTATTATAGGTGAGTCCAATCTTGTCTTACATTTGTGTGCAGTATGTATTTCTGGTGACGTACACCAGGAAGCCTTTTATTGTCTACAAGCTATTAAGTTTAAAATGTAATTTTCTTTGTTTACAGAGTCTGAGAATGAACCATATTTCAGCAGAACAGAAGAGGCGATTTAACATCAGAATGGGTTTTGACACTCTTCACAATCTGGTGACCACTTTAAAATCCCAGCCTAATATAAAACCGGTGGGTTGGTTGATTAGATGCGCATTACTTTTTGCTTGGTGTGTTGTTTATGGATAAGGAATGACGGTTTGAAACCCAGTTTTCATAATTAAAAGTACATGTTTCAGAAATTCCCTATGAATTGAATCTGGATTCTAACTATTACAACATAGAATCTGGAAATTTTTTGCCAGTTTGCGTTTGTGGCTCAAGTGGATAGGTTTACGAATTCAGGGATGTGCAACCTCCTTTGGAGTAGGAGGTCAGATCCATGTGGTGCAATCATTGAGTTGCCAGATAGAAATTTCCAGACAGTTTCCTTCCGTCCCTTCCTTTGTCCGTCCCTCTCCCTTCCCCACTCTGTCCTTCCCTACTATTGGTTGAGAATTCAAAAGAAAATCCATTGCTCAGGTTTAAAGTAGAAACTTGTTCACTTAACTCAAGACTCTGTTCAGCTTGCCACCTTTTCCCTCCTGTCTGGCCAATAAGCATCAACTCCCAAATAAAAACAGAAAATAGTGGAAATACTCAGCAGATCTGGCAATATTTGAATTGAGTGAAAGAATGAATGTTGTAACTGAAACATCACAACCTGAAGCAGTTCTCTTTCTCACAAATAAAATTCTCAGTTTTCAACAGGATGGTGTTAACCCTGCATGTATTTTAACCAAATATTTTGATATCATTCCTGTAGATGAGCAATGCGGCAACACTGCAGAAAACTGTGGAATACATAGCAAAACTACAACAGGAGAGGTCACAGATGCAAGATGAAGCAAAACGTCTCAGGGAAGAAATTGAGGAGCTTAATGCATCAATCAAGTGGGTATACATATTCTGTTACGTTTTTAAAATCCATTGTTGTTCTTCTGGAATTCTATATCATAGCGTCAAACCCTGTATTTTTATGGCAATTACAAACTACAAAAATTGTTTTTATATGATATATACTCTATATTATATATTTTAACAACTTTTTCCCAACTGCCAATTTTAAACAACATAAAATGTAATAAAGATGATGGATTGCAAAATTCCTTTAATTGCAGTTGTTCCTTACTTGTTACATTGCATAATTTAACATTTGTTGTGCATAGTAACAGTTATAAATCTATAATTGTGGTATTTATTATGGTTAACTGTTGACATCACCAAAAAAAGTTTACATTGTCAACTTCGTTTGTCTATAATTTTGCTGTTGATTTCAAGATTTTTTTTTTTGGTTAAACTCCTGAGATGTATTTGACAATACTGGCCAAATTTTTCTGGCTCCATGCAGTAAAGATTGTAGCTTTCTTGGAGTACTGCTGCACATCTTTCTTCTGTGCTCCCATGGAGGATGCAGCAGTTTCAACAGTGCATGTTCCATGAGCCAGTGGTTCTTCAGTTTTTTGTCCAGTCCTCTTCTGACTTTGCTGACTGTTGGCAATGAAACTCAGTCCTTAACTGATGTGGGATACAGGTGCACTTCTGAAAGGAGGTGCAGGTAATAATTAGTAAGCACGATGCAGGCTAATTTTGCTTCTTCATAACTTGGGAGTGAATACCCAATATTTCACTCATCCATTCACAAACTAAAGTTAATAATTCTGCATGGAGTGGAGATAGGAAAAGTCCTGTGCCCTGCGATTATAAGTTCAGCTACTCAATGGATAACCTAACAAATTATTTGAGTGGTTAAATTGCATTGTACTTTGTGTAGTTGTAGAAGTTGATTCTGCTTGTTGAATTATTTGACCCAGCAATGATAGTAATTTGAAACTGCAAATTCCCAATTTCAGTACCTGCCATAAGCAGCTTCCTGCAACGGGTGTCCCAATGACACAGCAACGATTTGATCATATGCAGGAACTGTTTGATGAGTACGTCAAATCAAGAACACTTCAGAATTGGAAGTTCTGGATTGTATCCTTTTAATGCTGAAAATTGGTAAATTATGTGGTGTAGCATTTCCATTGAGGTGCATTTTGCCAAAATCACGCAAACAGCATAAGGCATCAAAGAATTTGCAATACAGGCTATATGCAGCACAAAGCGATTTTCCACAGTTTTCTTTACAAACTGTATCTACTCTCTCCATTTAAGATGAAGATGAGGAATTTCTTCTGTCAGAACATTGTTAAGCTTTGGAATTCTATTCCACAGATAGCAGTAGAAGCTGGGCATTTGAATGTATTAAACGATGAGTTGGACAGATTTTTGATTTACAGGAGAGTTGAGAATTATAGGAGACAGACAGGAAATTGTAGTTAAAGACACCATCAAATCAATAATGACCTTGTTGAATGAAATAGGCCAAAAGTCCTAGCCTTGCTTCTATTTCTTATCTTATTATGATCCTAATATTACCTGCATTCAGTTTTTGAACAAAAATTTAACAACATTTTTAAGATTATTAAGGCTAACATGTGACACTGAAAATTGTTTCTTGTTGGTTTTAATCATGTCATATTTGGAGGTCAGTTAGTACTGGTGGCTGGTTTGCGATACAGAGTGATGCCAACGGCGTGGGTTCGATTCCTGCACCGACTGAGTTTACCGTGAAGGACTCCCCTTCTCAACTTTTACCCTCACCTGAGACGTGGTGACCCTCAGGTTAAACCACCACCAATTATCTCTGCCTGTAATGAGAGAGCAACCGTATGGCCCGCTAGGAGTGTCTTTACTTTGGTATATTACTAATTTGCTATCAAGTGTGATCAAATACAAGCATCTTCAGAATAATAACTTAGTAGTATTGAATTTCTTGAGCCTAGTAATGATGTTTGCTGTTAATGATAAAATTTAAAAACATTTGTGATCCTTGACACTCTAATCAGTTCAGCATAATCATAAAGCCTTTGTTTGATTCTTTCAATGATACCGTCGTGACTACAAGTTTAGATGATTTATGCAAGACAACACTGTCATGGTTGGATCAGTACTGTTCTCTACCAGTACTTCGACCAAGTAAGTCAATTATAACAGAGTTGAAGTAAATCATCTCTTAACTTCAGGGTTTCACTTTTTTCCTTGTTAAAACACAAAAGCAGATAAAAGTCATATAAATTCATGGAAACAAAAGTTGTATACAGTAACACTAAAATGCTTGTTAAAAATTTCATCCGATATGATAAAAAAAATCATTAAATTGTTTGGACATAATTTACAGAGCATTAGCAACTATAAGTTTTTTCTTAAGTCCAAAACTAAGGGAGTAACACCATCAAGGCATGTAGTCAAGATGGGGTTGACTATTCATATAAGAATTATGTACACATATCATCATTTAGCATAAATAATAAAACCAATGAGTTATAAGCATAGATAAAGGATCTTTGGAAAGAATAGGGAAGTAATGTAAAGATGAATTGTAGGTATATTGGTAGGCATACTCACCACAACATTAATAGAACAAAATAACAGTCAGTGAAAAGACCAAGGATAAAACTGAGGTACAACAAAGGATGCAAGAATCTTGAATGAGCTCTCTACTGATTGCCTGATAGGAGTATCATGGTGGAGGGTATATCAATATGAAAATCAGCAAAGCAAGTAGCTGAAACAACATGGCTATACAGTGATGGGAGATATTATTTTATTTTCATATAAACTGGAAGAGTAGCTCAAAAAGAAGAGGTTCAGAATTTCTGGAATGTAATCAAGAGTTTTCTGCAAAAATCTGTTTTAGAATTGTCAAGGGGATAAGGCTGTATTAAATTTAAGTGATTGGTAGCAAACTGGGCTATTTAACAATCTGACTGCGATGAAAAGTTTTGTGTCCATCACATAATTTGAACTTGATGTTTGGTTCACCGAGTTTTTTGATGTCCTATGACAATAGTACACCCTCCCGAAAGACACAGTCTCCACATTCTACGCTTTGAATAGTATTGATTAACAAACAACGTAAAATATTGTGTTAAATTGAAAGAAAAACGCTCAAAGGTGAGAATCCAGCAGATGGGAAAACTTTTTAAAAAAAGAAACAAAATAATATGCTAAAAGGGAACAAGAATCCATGTTTGCAAGAAATATAAAAACTAACTGGAAATGATTTTAGAAGTGTATTGAGAAAAAGAGAGGGGGTGAAGGCCAATTTGGACTCAATAAGGATATGCTATAATGGCCAACAAATGTTTCTTTTTTCACAGTAGGAAAAGAACATTGAGAAAATGAATAAAATATATATCCAGATCCGATGGCTTGAACCCTAGAGTATTAATAAAATGTGGAAATTTGCAGATATATTCTTAAACTTGTTAAATTTAGGATTTTTAAATAACAGAATTGGAAATGCATCATTATTTAGAAGGGGAGGGAGAGAGAAAGACGTAACTACAGATAGTTTAACATCTGATGTGGGGAAATCACTGGAATATATCATTAGCCACAGAGCAAATGAGCCGTTGAATGAATAGAAAAGTTTTCCAGAGGCTCAAACGTAACTGTGACTCATCAGTCATGTCTAATAATCTTGTTGAATTATTTTGAGGAGATCATGAACATGCTGAACGTAGATTTGACAGTATGGATTTCCAGACACATTTGATAAAATTCTACACACAAGCTTGACTTTGAATTTCTGTCATAGTTACACTCAGGAGCACTCCTGCTGGAGCTGAAATTAATTATGTTGCTTAAAACTTTATGGAATTTTCAGCATATGTTATGAGCTAACATACAATGTTTCCAGGTTTCCTTATGGTCATTGATTGCTCCCTCTGTCTGAATGCATCTCCAATCATATATCGTGCATGTTACAGTCTCATAGACATATACATTTTTACTGGTATCTTAATGCAATAGAATCATAGAATCCCTCCGTGTGGAAGTAGTCCATTTGGCCCATCAAGTCCACATTGACCCTCCAAAGAGTATTCCACCCAGACCCACATCCTTACCCTATCGCTGCAAACCTCCATTGCCCATGGCTAATTCACCTAGCCTGCACATCCCTGGACACTACGGGGCAACTTAGCATGGCCAATCCACTTAAAAGCTGTTTGGACTGTGGGAGGAAACTGGAGCACCAGAGGAAGCCTATGCAGACACGGGGAAAATGTGCAAACTTCACAGCGATAGTCGTCTGAGGCTGGTGTCAAACCAAGGTTTCTGAGATATAGTAAGAACTGCCGATGCTAGGGTCTGAGATAAGGTGTAGAGCTGGATGAACACAGCAGGCCAGGCAGCATCAGAGGAGCAGCAAAGCTGACGTTTTGGGCCTGGACCCTTCTTCAGAAATGGGGTAGGGGAACGGCACTCTGAAATAAATAGGGAGGGGGGAGGCGATGATGGAAGGTGGATAGAGGAGCAGATAGGTGGAGAGAAGACAGACAGGCCTGCCTCCTTGACCTTTCTGTCTTCTCTCCACCTATCTGCTCCTCTATCCACCTTCTATCATCGCCTCCCCCTCCCCCATTTCTGAAGAAAGGTCCAGACCTGAAACGTCAGCTTTCGTGCTCCGCTAATGCTGCCTGGCCTGCTGTGTTCATCCAGCTCTACACCTTGTTATCTTAAACCAAGGTCTCTGGCACTTTGAGGTAGCAGTGCTAATCACTGAGCCACTATGCTGCCCTAATAACTTAAGTGATCTTTAATGTGTTCATAAGTGGAGATACAATTTGAAATATAGAGGTGAATAAATTCTGGAGGAAAATCAACAGCGGTGGTTAACTTATTTCCAACTTCTGTGGAATGAAGAGACATATCCATATTCACAAGTACAGAAAATTATTCCGTAATCTAGCTCGACTGCATTAGCTTCAGTAACATCTCTATGGCATAGAAACGTAGAAGATAGGAGCAGGAGGCGGCTACTGGGCCCTTTGTGCCTGTTCCGCCATTCTTCATGATCATGGCTGATCGTCCAACTCAATAGCCTAATCCTGCTTTCTCACAATAACCTTTGATCCCATTCACCCCCACTGCTATATCTAGTTGCCTCTTGAATACATTCAATGTTTTAGCATCAACTACTTCCTGTGATAATGAATTCCACAGGCTCACCACTCTTTAGATGAAGAAATGTCTCCTCATCTTGATCCTAAATCGTCTACCCTGAATCCTCATACTCTGACCCCTGGCTCTGGACACACCCACCATCAGGAACATCCTTCCTGCATCTACCCTGTCCAGTCCTGTTAGAATTTTATAAGTCTCTGAGATCCACCACCCCACCCCACCTTATTCGTCTGAACGCTAGCAAAAACAATCCCAACCTGGTCAATCTCTCCTCATACGTCAGACCCTGCCATCCACGGAATCAGCCTGGTAAACTTCCGCTGCACTCCTCGAGAGCAAGAGTATACTTTCTCAGGAAAGGAGACCAAAAGTGCACATAATATTCCAGGTATGGCCTCACCATGGTCCTGTATAATTGCAACAACACATCCCTGCTCCTGTATTCGAAACCTCTCGCAATGAAGGCCAACATACCATTTGCCTTCTTTACTGCCTGCTGCACCTGCATACACACCTTCAGCAACTGGTGCACACTCGCCTCTCCCAATTTACAGCCATTCAGGTAATAATCTGCCGCCTTGTTTTTGCTTCCGAAATGAATAACTTCACATTCATCCAAATGATACTGCATCTGCTATTGATTTTCCCGCTCACCCAACCTGTCGAGATCATACTCAAGGATCTCTGCATCCTCATCAGTTCACCCCCGCCCCCCAACTTGGTATCATCTGCAAATTTGGAGATGTTACATTTCATTCCCTCATCCAAATTATTAATATATATTGTAAATAGCTGGGGTCCCAGCATCAATCTCTGTGGCACCCCACTAGTTACTGCCTGCCAATTTGAAAAGGACCCATTAATTCCTACTGTTTGTTTCCTGCCTGCCAACCAGTTTTCTCTCCATCTCCGTACACTTTCCCCAATCCCATGCGCTTTAATCTTGCAACATTAATCTCTTATGTGGGACCTTGTCAAACACTTTCTGAAAGTTCAAATATACTATATTGACTGGCTCCCCCTTGTCAATTCTACTAGTTACACCTTCATAAAATCCCAACAGATTTGTTAAGCATGATTTTCTCTTCGTAAATCCAGGCTGACTGTGTCTGATCCTGCTACTGCTTTCTAAATGCTGTGCTATAAAATCCTTGACAATGGATTCGAGAATTTTCCCCACTACCGATGTTCGGCTCACCGGTCTGTAATTCCCTGTTGTGTCTCTACCTCCCTTTTTGAATATTGGAGTGACATTAGCCACCCTCCAATCTGCAGGAACCATTCCACAGTCTGTAGAATCCTGGAAGATGACCACCAATGCATCCACTATTTCTAGAGCTACTTCCTTAGGTATTCTGGGATATAGATTATCAGGCCCTGGGGATTTATCAGCCTTCAATCCCAACAATTTTCCCAGCACCATTTCTTTACTGATCTCCTTCAGTTCTTCCATCTCACTAAATCTTGCATCCTCCAACATTTCTGGTATCTGATTTGTATCCTGTTTTGTGAAGACAGAACCAAAGTATGTATTCAGTTCCTCAGCCATTTCTTTGTCCCCTATTATACATTCCCCTGTTTCTGTCTGTAGGGGACTTACATTTGTCTTTACCAATCTCTTTCTCTTCACATACCTATAGAAACTCTGAGCATCAGTCTTTATGTTCCCTGCAAGCTTACTTTTGTACTCTATTTTCCCCTTCTTAATCAATCTCTTGATCCTTCTTTGCTGAATTCTAAACTGCTCCCAATTCTCAGATTTATTGTTTTTCTTGGCCAATCCGTATGCTTCTTCCTTGAATCAAATACTGTCTCTTATTTCCTTTGTAAGCCGTGGTTTGGCCCTCTTACCCATTTTGCTTTTGCGACAGACAGGAATAAACAGTTGTTGCAGTTCCCCAATGCGTTCCTTGAATGTTAGCCTTTGCCTATCCACTGTCATCTCTTTAAGTAACTCTTCCCAATCTATCAAGGCCAATTCGTGCCTCATATCCTCATAGTTTCCTTTATTAAGGTTTAGCATCCTGAGTGAAAGCCTCTATAATCTGAGTAACGACAGAACTGTCAAATCTGGAGATGAAAGAGTCAGGATCAAAACACTTGTTGACGAATGAACTATATTTTCTATATATTTGAATGAAAAGTAGTCTCTGTAATTGAAAAACTCCATCAGTTTTAGGTTCTTAGAGTCGATGCTCCCAGTGTACCACATAATGGTTGAATGAATTGAAGTTTAAATTTTCAGACTTGAAGATAAATATTTGGTGTGGGTTCTGAACTTCCACTGTAACCTCAGTTGATTTATGTTAATTTAACATTTGGGCATCTTTTCTACACATCTCAATAAAAGTTCAGCATGTGTTGAGTCAGTAGAATGAATGTCGGAACAGACACATGTTTAAGCTTAACTTCTAGGTTGCGTCCACAGAGAAATGAAAGAAATTTCTGTGTAACTTTGTGACATGAGTAATTGTTTGGTAGGTGGGAGATAGGATAAGGGAACGTTTTCTGACTTTCTGGTAGAAAATAGTGCCTACAGAGATCTATGCTGGGCTTTAGCTTTTCACCATATATCAATGACTTGGATGGAAGTAAAAAGGGTTGTATATTCATGTTTTCAAATTACACCAAGTTGGAAAATGTGTAAGTCATGAACATGGGAAAAAACCTTACAAAGGGACATTGGATAAGTGATTCCATGAAGCTAGTGTATGGAGTTTAGTATGGAGTCATCTGCTTCAAATCCAAGAAAGAAAAAAATTACAGAACTTAAAACGTTGGTAAAAGGGGACACTAAGTTGAACTTTGTGTCTTGCACTCATCAAGACTTGAACACGAGTTTAAAAAGGGAACCCTAATTTATTCAGCACAAGAGCAGAGTTCTGATTGGTTGGACCTTGGTTAACATGGAGATGTAGATAATTGTCCATCTTAGCTGATTAAATTCAGATCGGGCAAGTAGACCCGAATAGTTTAGAATGTTGCCATGGAAACACAGCAGGGATTGACAGTTTCCATAATCCTTTCCTCTATGAAAATGGACAAACTACCTTTGTGTCCAAAGAACAGGGTTCTGTATGTGTAACTTCTTGCACACACTAATGAACCACACTGTGATCCTGACTGATCTTAAATTGATTTCCAATGTAATTCTTAGCATCATCAGGATTATTTAGTATATGTTGTCTAATAGCAGAACCGTATCTGATGTTGGACAGTATTGTGAAATTTGCTGTCGTAGGCTGATTGAGAATGATTGACATGCTGCATGCAGCCAATGATCACACAAATGAGTAATGTGCTCTGTGAGTTTCAGTGCTGGTGTAATGCCAGATACTGGTGGACGATATCAAGGAACGCCTCCTTTTGTCTGCAGGAAGTAAGAACAGGAGAGGTTTCTGGTCAGAAGTGTGATGGGGAAAAATGGGAAACTTACTCTGCACTAACTCCAGGCTACAATATTAATATCAAAGTGTATGTCGCCACTGCAACTCAGACTTCTTGGAGTGGGTCAGTTGATTAAGGACAGGTGTGACTGAGATCGGTTTGAACTGTGTGGAGTTAAATACTTTTTCCAACTGGTGTCTGTTTATGGTCTATCTTTTTGTCCTATTTGTGGTGGAGATCATGTCACAGAATCATAAGAGTCATGCAGCATGGAAACAGACCTTTCGGTCCAACTAATCTACACTGACCATGTTCCCAGACTAAACTAGTCCCACCTGTCTGTATTTGGCCCATATCCCTCCAAACCTTTCCTACTCATGTGCATATCCAAATGTCTTTTAAACATTGTAACTGTACCTGTATCCACAACTTTCTCTGGCAGTTCATTCCACACATGAACCATTCCCTGTGTAAAGAATTTGCCCCCATGTCCTTTTTAAATTTTTCTCCTCTCACCTTAAAAATATGTCCCCTGTGTTTTGAACTCCTCCACCTTAGGGCAAAGATCTTTTCCTATTCACCTTATCTTTGCCCCTCGTGATTTTATAAATCTCTGTAAGGTCACCCCTCAACCTCTACGCTCCAGTGAAAAAGTTCCTGGCCTATCCAGCCTATTTTTATAACTTAAATCCTCCATCCCTGGCAACATCCTGGTAAATCTTTTCTGAACTCTCTCTGGTTTGATAATATCCTTCCTATAACAAGGCAACCAAAACTGCACACAGTACTGCAGATGAGACCTCACCAGCATCCTGTACAATCTCAAGATTATGTCCGAACTCCTATACTCAATGGTCTGAGTAATGAAAGCAAACATGCTAAATGCCTTCTTAACAACCCTGTCTACCTCTGATGCATTTTTGAAATGTCGCTGTGGGTCAGACTTGCCTCAAGGCAGAGAACTCCAGAAGAAAGGGGAATTTCATGTAAAAGTTACAGAAAAGCTATTGTACTGTTAGGTTTGTGGCGCATGGGGATGCAGTCTTCACATCTGAGCAAGGCTGTTCAGAGATGAAAACAGGAAATCCTTTTTAATCTAAAGGATAGACAAAAATGAAATTTTTCTCCCACATAGGCTACAGTTGGTGGATCATATGGCATTTTTAGGACTTTGAGATTAACAGCTCTTTAGGAAAGGATATTAAGGATATGGAACAAATTAAAACAAATGGAGTTGTCTCACAAATAAACTGCGATCTTTCTAATGTTCAACAGCCTTTAAGGCTTCGAGGGACTGAGTTATAGGGAGAGGTTGGACAAGCTAGGACTTTTTTCTTTAGAGTGTGGAAGATTGAGGGGGGATCTTACAGAAGTATATAAGATCATGAGAGGTATGGATAGGATGAATGCACTCCATCTTTTTCCCAGGGTTGGGGCGATTGAGGACTAGAGGCCATCGGTTTAAGGTAAGAGGGGAAAGAATACTTGGGAACCTAAGGGGCAACTTTTTTACACAGAGGGTGATACGTGTATGGAATGAGCTGCCAGTGGAAGTATTGAGGCGGGTACGTTAACAACATTTAAAAGGCATTTGGACAAATACATGGATAGAAAAGGTTTAGAAGGATATGGGCCAAGTGCAGGGAAATGGGATTAGCGTGGATGGACATTTTGGTCGGCATAGACCAGTTTGGGCTGTAGGACTCTATGGCTCACTAATAGATTATCATTCAAGACGTGAGTCAAATGTAACAAAGCTGATGCACACAATTGTTGTAGGTTTTAATCTTAATATAGACTGCAAACATCTAATTGGAATAGTATATAGACTAAGTTAATGGAATGCATTAAAGACACTTTCCCAGAATGATAGCTCATCAAACTAACCAGGGAACATGCTATTTACTCTTCTGTAATGAGTAAGGTTTAATTAGTAAACTCTTTGGAGGTCATCTGGGGAAGAATGATCATTATGTGAAGGAATTTGATTTAAAAAATGATGTACTTAAATCTGACACTAGAATCTTGAATATAACGCAAATTACATAGAATTTGGAGTGTTTGGCAAGTTAGATTGAGACTTCCACCTTCACAACAGAAGACACAACAATATATAAGAAATACGAAGGAATGCGGAATCTAATTATAGCGAGGAACTTAATTCATGACTAGTTAAGGAATAGTACTGGCAAAACTAGTGAGACTAGCAGCTGATATGTTCATAAGACTGACAGCCTACATCTTTGAATTCTGAAAGATATAGCTGCTGCAATAATTATATATTACCTGCGATTGAATAATGGATTTCAGTATCTGGAAAAATCCTAAGCATATAATAAATATTACGAAGGCTGTGACAATTATATTTCACAAATGCAGTGAACTTTTGAAAAAACACAAAGTAATTGGTAGCATAAACAAAGCAAATATAGTAAAGGCTCCAAAAGTATTAGAATTTTGTTGTTATGAACTGATCCAGAAATTATTCTGTGGCCTGATGCAGAAATTAGTCCGAGAAATGTTTGAACTATTTAAATCCTTTTGGTTTATTTCTTATGCAGTAGAGATTGGACTTGAAATCAGAAGAAATCATCTTCAGAGAGGTCATCTTATCTGATCCACTTTTTATAGTTTTGGTGGAATATGATAAGTACTAGAATGCCAATATACTACCCATGTCAATTAGAAAACCACAGAATTCAGACTTCGGCAGATTGCCACATTTTGCTAGGGAAGATACTTCTGTTAAATTCAGTGTGTTTTTTTGTTAAAATATGAACACAATGGTGTAATTATAAGAATGACTATTACTTTCTGCTCCAGTAGGTTGTACACCTCCAAAGTGGCACAGCAATTCATGCAATAAGGAATGTTGTCAGAATGTGTGGTTTTTCTGCTTCTTCACTTTTTATCACTGTCAATATGCCCTTGGAGCAGTCAATAATCTTCTCTCCTGTTGCGTAGGAAATCTTGAGCTTAATTGATATTTTCATATCCAAATGAACGTTATATGCTTGATGAATCATCAACCTAATATCAGTTTGTTTTTTTGTTTGTTTCAGTGGTACTGACCACGCTTCGTAAACTTAGTACTACTACATCCATTTTGTCAGATCCATCACTGATGCCTGAACAAGCAACGCAAGCAGTAAACCGGATCAATAATATCAGTGGAGATTCATAGCATCAACTTGTATTGCATGGCATTTCCTGTGAAACGTGAGAGTCTCATGGTTGGACATAACCGTCCTAGTGTAAAAGCATAAGTAATATGCTACTTTCCTTCTTCCTGTCTGTGACTTTTGCACTTTAATGAAAATGGAAAGCTGTGATCTGGATATTTGAGCAACCTAACCTGAATGGCTGGGTCTTAAATGTTCCTCCTTGAATAAGCCTTCTGATTTTAAGGGTAAACCCATAATTAACACCAAATGATCAAAGTTATGGCAACCTGTATCTGTGAATATCAGTGTCTGGAGGCCATGTGCATTTCAGCTTGTATTTGGCTCAAGTAATACTTGTTCATTTTCTGCTGTACAAGGCAGCATCAATACAGTGCACAACCCCATTATGTTAACCTGGGGAAGGGAAGACAGCAGATAGATGGTATTAAGGTTGTTGCTAATATATGCAAGCTCCTTTTAGCATTGTTCTTTGTGAAGCATGAGCATTTATTATTTACTCAAGATACTTTCTTTGTTCCAAAATTTCAGATTGCTTCCAAAGTTTGAAGTACAACTATTTCGTTTATCTTTAGCCCCGAAAGCTACGTATCCTCTCAGTTGATTTCTCTTTTATTTAGGAAACTAGCATGTTTACCAGGACACATCCTCCAAAAGAAAAATCAGAAGGTTTATCCCTAATGATTCAACATTCTTTATCAGTGCATTACTCTGAACAAGAAAAAAGTTAAACTCAGGTACACATAAGCTGCAAGCCCTGTGCACAGCAATAAGACATTGTTGTTGGTGGCTTATGAAAGCCTAAGTTATACTGTTTGTATGTTTTGTAAATTACTATTAAATCAAAATGTAATGAATTTAACACAAGTCACCTTAAAGGAAATATGTTTTTGAATATTTACAATGTTTGTTTTTTTTTCAATTCTAAGGCCTCAATGCTATCCTTTGATTCCCCACTCTTCCCCCCAGTAAACTTTCTGAGGAAAGTGCGGACTTTGTTAAAAGAACCAAAGAAAATACTTAACTGATGTAAAAGCAAGTGTTTTTGCATTTAACCTCTCTGTCCTGGTTCACCAGTGAACAGGTATGAATCATGTTAACCAGATAATGTGTTACTAGTAGAAAGGTGCTCATATATCTCACATCAGTGCATAGAATCACCTTCCTTGTGTTATTGGGAAGAAAAAGCCAAGTCCATTCATTAGAAAATTTTGAATGTTCCCTGAAGGAAAGAAAAATCTTCATTTTAAAGAATAATAAATTATGTTTTTGTAATGATGTGGCAGAAACCTTAATTGTGATGTGGTTGTATTGGATTAGACATTGGAAAACAAAGTGATGGTTACATGCTCAAACTAGATTCTGTATGCAATTTTGTGCAAAATCTGAAACTTAATTGGTGTACATAATTGTTTTAGGGTTCTGGTCTTATCTACACATTTTCTATTTAGAACCATGATGTATTAAAGCTTCATTTATATTTTATTAAATAAAGTAGAAGCCAATTCTTATTTTTGAGTTTGATTTTGGTGGTCATCTGATTAAGACCATGTAAATGTACAGTGGACAGTGTGTACAAACAAACTACTTGCTTTTTTAAAAAAAAAGCTTCCCTGTGCACTCCAGGTGGTTTGTTTAGTAAATGTACCAAGTGCAAACTTAAAGCCACAGTGAGATAAGCCATGATCTTATTGAAGGGTGAAGCAGACTCAACAGACTGAATGGAATACTCCTGCACCTATTGTTGCTTGTTGTGGCATCGAGCCCATAGGCAAGAGAGATCTTCGAGGTTGCTGAAGTGACAGATAAACAATAACATCTAAATAATTAGTACATTTGCCATGGTAGGCATTAGAAATCATGGGTTAGGAACGTGCCTAATACTAACAGTAAAGTGTGAGTGTGTTGAGTGAGGATCAAAATTCCATTTGGTTCTGATGTCACCATGGGCATTCTGCTAGTAATAAAGTCGTACGCCGATATTTGGAGGAAGTGCCAGAGTTGACAGCACTTGTGGAACTCAACCAAGTGCCTTTTAGAAGAAGTGGGAATATTAAATTTGGTCATGAAATGTGGTACAGTGCTAGTTGATGAACTGAGTGTCTTTTTTAACTTGGCGTTTTATGCTATTTTAAAAAAAATCAATTTGGTTCATTTCACCTGTACTTTTGAAAGAGTTATGTAAGTAGACCTACTCCCTTCCTGTTTCCACTCATCCCTACAACATTTTCCCTTTCAAGTCCTTATTCCAGTTTCTTCTAAAAAGTACTATCTAATCTGCTTCCAATCTTTCAGTAGTGCATCATAGCTTGCTCTTTAAAAATGTAAACTTCGCATGCTGCTGATGAATGAAGAAGATTTAACCCACCTGAGTTGATGTTTTCCATTTTGGGGAAATGTCATTAAAGATGTTCGCAGTTTTAAGCAAATACTGAGGAAGAGAAGGGGTGGAGGAAAAACAAAAGGCATAGGCCTGTAATGGAAGAAGGCAAGAGAGATTAAATAACCAAATACAAGGGAAAATGGAGATGGTAATTATATAGAGAAACAAAAGATGAGTTCAGAGGAGGTATAAATGGGCATGATAAAATCACTACATGCATCGGCTGTCCAAAAAAAAGGCAGTGACTATGATCCAAAATTGTTGAACTGAAAGTTTTCTTTTACTTTGCACCATCATTCCTGTTATCATTTAATCTCTCTTGCCTTCCATCCAATCACAGGTCTTCCCTTTTGTTTTACCTACCTCCCACTGCCTCTCTTGCTGTAGTTGCTTAAAACCTGTTCCTGTTTCCACAGATTTTCTTCTCACAGATACTGTCTGACTGACGCAATATTTCCAGCCTTTTGTTTTTATTCTTTGATTTTGTATTCTTTACTCCTATTCGTAATGACAGTGATTTTGCATGTCTTTTCAAATGGTCTCAACTTCTCCGGCCACCTTCAAAAATGTGCATACCTATACCCCCCTCAGGTCCTTTCACTCCTGTGCCCACTGTGCGGTTTAGTTATTGCCTCCACATTTTTCCTGCCAATACATACTTAATTCCACTAAATTTAATCTGCCATGTGTCTGCCCATTTCACCAGTCAGTCAACATCCTCTTGAAGTCCTACTAACCTCTTTGTTGCCTGCATTTCTGAGTTTCGTGTCCTCTGTAAACTTTGAATTTCTTACTTGCGTACCCAAGTTACTATTAGTCCCAACATCGACTCCACTCCACATTGCTTTCTGGTCCAGAAAAAAAAAATCTGTTTATGTCTGCTTTCATGTACCTACTGCGTCTTTTAAGGATAGTTTTTAAAAACTTACATAGGTTTTATTAGTGGAACCAGAAGCCTCAAAATTGTAGTGTTTAGAAATTTCATAGAATTCTACATCATTCAACAAACAAACTTGTCGCAAATTGAAGGTGCAAGCTTTGTGGTGCAAGTATTTATTTCTTTAGTTTATACAAGTGACCTTTCAAAGCTACTTTAATATTTTATGAAGAAAGTGACTTGCTGTTTATGGTGAATTCCAGCCATTCTCCTACTCTGGAAAAGAACCCATCAGAAATCATAAATACAGCAGTTGAAACACCCCACTTTGGTTAAATCAGGTGTTCTTACAAGTTTAAGTGCCTGCCATCTGTTTTACGTCTGTACAAGACTTTTAAAATTAAATTATGGTGTTACAGCACAGAAACAGGTCAGTATTTCTATTCCAATGCTCCTGACCCCCACCATTGCCCTGTACTCTCAGTAGACAATGAGATGTAGAACTGAACAATAGTAGGAATAGTTTGCTGCTTGTTAATTGGGTTCAAATAAGTTAGTTAGGAAGGAGACCGGGGTATGTAATATTGCATTTAGAAATTATTCTGGTATTACATAAGAGTCTGGTTTCCTACTTCATCGGTCTTCAGAATGAATTAAGATGGTTTGTCAGAAAGGCAGGAAATTGTTTTTTTGTGGAAAGAATATTGTAATCTGAGTTACGTTCATTTAAAAAAAATGGCTGAAAGCCTATACAAATTGTAAGGATATGATTACCCACCGATGTTCTCTGAATCTGAATCTTATGACTAGTGGCAGAGTGGATATATAGACATGGGTTATATTCTTACTGAAGAGGACGTAGAGTGTGGCCTTGTCATTTCCACTTTCTAACAAAACTAAAATCCAAAGCAAAGTATTTTGTGAGCTGGGTGCCTGTCAGTTGGATATAGAAGAAAGGTTAGAACTTCTATTAAATTTCATGGATGAAATCTACAAGAAAGCTAACGTGTTAGTTGACTATAAGACATGGTAAGGCTTCAGTAGTTTTCAAAAATCATACTGTCTTTCAGAATATATCGTGGACTTTAACAGATAATAAAACAATGCAGAAATTCAATTTGGAGATTCCTTATTTGGTGTTTGCACTTAAACTGTTGGATTGTGCTGAAGTTTCACACACACATTCCTGGCCTTAACTGTTGCTTTTAAAATAAAAACTCAGTGGATGCAGTCATTTCTAGCAGCTTTGATGATACAAATGGGACTTTCTGCAATGTCCACAAAGGATGATTGCGACATTTAGTGATCAGTCAGATATGAGGCATAGGTGCTTGTACATCAGAAGTGGTAGAAATAGAAGGACTGGAGACTAAGGTATTTTTGATCTTTTTTACTGATCTGGCAGACAATAGAATTGGAGTAGCAATATCAGATACATGAATACCTGGGCAATAGTTAATGGGTACTGAAGATGTGTCTTGGAATGGATTACTGAAAACAGATTAACAGGGTTTTTGAAGTAACACATGACACACCAACTTTGGAAGTTAAGATGATGGTGGTCAGTTTGAGGGAATTGTTCTAGTCATAGGAAGTTTTAGTCCAGTATTAATGTATTCGTTGCAGAATCACTGTGCCATGTTAGATGGTGGTTTCCCCTTCGTGGATGGAACATATTGATCAAAAATGTTTAGGATTGAAGTAAAAAGAGGCATTATGAAAGTTCTATTTATTTCAGTTTAGGAGATGACAAAAAGTTAAAGTTGCTGAAAAGAATAGTTATTCCAGGTAGCTGAAATTAGCTACCTTTATAAGTATGGATGTATTGTACAGTAAGTTACCTGACTCTGAGCAAGGCTTCCCTGAAAAAAAAATCCCAAGTGAAATCAAACATGGAACATGATAAAGCAACTTTTTTGGAGTGTCAGTAGATTACCACATCCCCGAAACACTGCCTAATATTTCTAATCAGAATTTTAGATAAGTGCTAATGCATCAGGTGTTTAAAAAGTTGAGAGAAAAAACAAATTGTCTTAAAGTTACACAGACAATTTATTCATCCTTTGTTGCAGAGTCAAAATCTTGCTAAAGGATGTAAATATGATTGATAGTGAGTGCTGAAAGCTTGTCGAAGAGTTTAGTGAAAAATGCAATGTAAAGAGTATCGGAAGACACAGCCATATTCCATTGTGTGTCTTTTATTCTCTCACACATTAATGAAGTAGTGGCCGTGGATTTAAAGGTGTTGTACTAAATCATTGAAATTTTACATTTTGAAGATTTCACAGCCAGATCTGGTCTTTTCATAGTCATGCATGGTAAATACAAAAGGGGGATTGTAGATATAATCCTAGTAAAATGGATTGGGACTTCACTGGAAACACTGTCTAAGTTTCTGACTGTCAAAGACTGGGAATTTAGTAATGGTGAGAGACATGCAAAAATATCAAAATTCTGACCTTTTAGCAGAGAACTCTGAAAGAAATCTTACAATAATCAGTGAGACCCGCCGTAAGACCTTAGCTGATTAACTAAATGGCAAGTTAAGAACTGCTGTGATGTGGACACTCCATGCAAAATACTTGCTTCACATGCTGACAGCTATTGTCCTCCTCAATTGATCTGTGAGAGGAGTCCCAAAATACCTTTTGTATTGCTTGAAAGAAGAGATGAACATTGGTTCCATCTTTCTTGTGTGCTTGAATGCTTTGCATGTAGGAAGAAGGATACCCATCAAGGTGGAAGTCTCTGAGAAGATTTGTGAGCTGTAAAACATCTCATTAGACTGTCCAAGATAAACGTTAATCCTGAAGATTTATTATACTTAAAACAGCACCACTTAAAAGAGAGTGGAAAGGTCCAGCAAAGGTAGAAGGATGTGATGGAAAGAAAGTGATTCTTGAATGTAGTAGTCACATTATTAAAGTACCTTTCATCCTGGTCAGCAAGGCTGGTTACAAACTTCCAGAAATCTGAGCAATTAATAGAAAGCAATGGGGTACGTAGTAATTACACATATCTGTTTTACAGTTATGAGGAATAGCCCAGTAGATAATGATTCAGATTACATTAGACTGCATGATACAGATACACGAAACAGGACCGTTGTGTGCAACTATCTAGACTGGGTACTCGAGTAATGTATATACCTGAAGGACCCAGTGAATGGAGAATTGCGACTTCTGTAGCCAGAGCAGGGAAAGCTAACAGCAAGTTCATATACTGGCTAAATATGCAAGAAGATGGATAAG